TTTAAAATATTACATGGTAAAAACAGAAGCTGTTCTTCATATTAGTGACAAACTTTGGCCTTTTTTAAAGAGTTACTTTCATTTTTTCTTCTACTTTTTATTTAAAATAAATTTCCATTCTCGGCAGGTTTCTAAGGTTCTTCTTCTACATATTAAAAAAGTTGTAGTGGTGCACTACTGCTACTAGTGGAGAGAAAGTGTATTGCACATTGTTTAAAATCAATGCAGTCCCACGGCCCTCTGCGGCCCAAAGTTAAAAACTGTTGTTCTTTTGAGACCCTCAAGGTGGCGCTGTGGCCCACAGGTTAAGGATCTCTGAACTAATGGACTCTTTGTCTCCGTCTTTTCTTTTTAAGGACCTTGAGTTCCATGGCGTGATGCGGTTCTACTTCCAGGACCGGGTTGCCGGTAACTTTGCCACAAAGTGCATCAGAGTGTCCAGCACAGCGACGACGCAGGATGTCATCGAGACGTTAGCCGAGAAGTTCAGACCGGACATGAGGATGCTGTCCTCGCCCAAGTACTCGCTGTACGAGGTCCACGTCAGCGGCGGTGAGTCCCACAGATTGAACTAATCCATGGTTTTACTGGACRAGAAGATGCAGGTGAATTTGAGATAAACTCGTGTTATTGTGCACGTGTTAGAAGAGCGTCAGCTGGACCTGGACGAGAAGCCTCTCGTCGTTCAGCTGAACTGGAACAAAGACGACAGAGAGGGACGCTTCGTCCTGAAGAATGAGAACGACATCCTGCCCAAAGTCAGTGCTGTCAGTCAAGCTTTCATTCACCTCACTGCACGCTGTAGCTGACTTGTTTCTTTTCTACCAGAAGAGCCAGAGTAATGGGCCGGAGAAGGAGAAAGATGGAGTGATCCAGAACTTCAAGAGGACTTTGTCCAAGAAGGAGAAGAAGAAAGAAAAGAAGAGGGAGAAGGAGTTTGCCCGAATCCCTGATGGAGATGAGCAGACTCTGGGCCGTGAAGACGGGTAAGAACCACGGATCTTACTGCTCAGTCCTTCGAGACGGTTCTCATGTCAGCTGTTTGACACTCACCTACCTGTCATTTAGTGAAAACAGTCGCCTGGCAGCCGAGGTTTATAAGGACATGCCTGAAACCAGCTTCACCAGAACCATCTCAAACCCAGAGGTGGTGATGAAGAGGAGACGGCAGCAGAAACTGGAGAAACGCATGCAGGAGTTCATGAGCAGCGACGGCAGGCCGGAATCAGGTATTTTATTTATTCATTTATTCATTTCATTTCTTTAAAAAACAACAAAATTTATGCACAATAAAAAAAACACAAATCACAAATAAAATGAAAAGCGACATAAAAAAACTGTTACGGCCAGAGGTCTTTCTTCTATGTTTATACTAAAGCATGGAATGACATT